CCTCCGCTGGCCCGGACGGCAGCCGGGCGCACCTCTCTGTCTTCAGCGTCCTGGTCCTCACCCTGTTGGCCATGCTGGTGGTGGCCACGTTCCTCTGGAACGGGCTGGTCCTGGCCACCATCCTCCGGGTGCGCACTTTCCACCGGGTGCCCCACAACTTGGTGGCCTCCATGGCCGTCTCTGACGTGATGGTGGCGGCCCTCGTCATGCCCCTCAGCTTGGTGCGGGAGTTGTCCGGGCGGCGGTGGCGGCTGGGCCGGTCGCTCTGTCAGGTGTGGATCTCCTTCGACGTGTTATGCTGCACCGCCAGCATCTGGAACGTCACGGCCATTGCCCTCGACCGCTACTGGTCCATCACCCGCCACCTGGAGTACACACTCCGCATCCGACGCCGCATCTCCAACATCATGATTGCGCTCACCTGGGCACTCTCTGCCTTCATCTCCTTGGCCCCGCTGCTCTTTGGCTGGGGAGAGACTTACTCAGAGGACAGTGAGGAGTGCCAAGTCAGCCAGGAGCCTTCCTACACCATCTTCTCCACCTTTGGCGCCTTCTACCTGCCCCTCTGCGTGGTCCTCTTTGTGTATTGGAAGATCTACAAGGCCGCCAAGTTTAAAAAAGAAGAGCAACTCCATCACACCCATCACACCTGAAGCCCTGGAGGTAGGTCACCCTGGTTGTATTTTGCTCTAGTCAACTGCTGGTAGCAACAAAGCCCTTGCTGCGGTGGGGGAAACTTAGACCTAAAGCATGCAAGCAAACAGCATCCCACCAAAGCCCTGTGAATCCCAGAGTCTGTCAAGGGAAAGTTGACTGCAAAGCTTGCAAGCCCAGTCCTTTCAAGTCCCCAGCAGTGAGCACGCAAGGTGTAGCTAAAGCAACTTTGGGCCAGATTGCGAGCCTGAGCTCCACGTGGGTGTGCAGTGACTCACAGACGTCCCCCCGTGGAATGCTGAATCAGTGCTCACGAGCGTGAGTAAGGGGGCACCGTTCCTCCTGTGGGGAGGCATGTGGGGGTGTGAATGGATGGGATCCCGCCCCGCTGGGGACGATAACCTGGCAAGCAGCTGTGGCTTTGAGGAGGCTGTGAATTTACCCACATGGAAGACACGTGCAGAACGTCCTTGTAAATCCTTCCCAATTGTGGCTGCATCATGACAGTTCATCGCAGGCACGGTGACTGTGCTCTGTAAAGACTTCTTGGGGGGAGGAAGGAAATGTATGCTCATTTTCTTGCCTCTCCTACCAAGGCCTCTTAGACTCAATGAGTTCAGAGAAAGCAAGGAGACTTCTGTGCACAGCATGTGGGTGTGTGCCTGTTCTACTGATCTGATTGTAAACGGGGAAATAATCCTATTGAGCTGCTGTATCAGCAATTCCAGGTGCCCATATATCACTACTCTCTTTAGTTTCCAGCCTCACTTAAAAAGTCTCCGTTACCCAGGAGAGAGTCATACAACCACTCTCCCCTCCATTAGAGCATGACGTAGATGGCCCGTGTTTCCCCGTGAGCTCTGGCCGTCACTTGCGTAGTTTGGTTGCGTACCTGCTGTGTGGGATCAGCTGACCGAGGCACATATGGTGCAACTTGTGTTTGTCTTTGGCAGGTAAAAGAAGCTGCCCAGCAGCCACAGATGGTCTTCACTGTCCGTCACGCCACTGTTGCGTTCCAGACGGACGGAGACACGTGGAGAGAGCAGAAGGAAAAGAAAGCTGCCCTCATGGTGGGCATCCTCATTGGGGTCTTCGTGCTCTGCTGGATCCCCTTCTTCATCACGGAACTCATCAACCCCCTCTGCTCATGCGACATCCCACCCATTTGGAAGAGTATTTTTCTATGGCTAGGCTATTCAAATTCCTTTTTTAATCCACTCATCTACACTGCTTTCAACAAAAACTACAACAATGCCTTCAGGAACCTATTCTTTAGACAGCACTGAGCAGAAAAAGCTTTCCTACTGCGCCAGGAAGCTGATTTTGACTCTCAATGCATCCTACCAGACTCTTGAGGAAGTTCAAAGCCACAAATACCGAGATGATGCTAAAGACACATCCCCATGGGTCGTATGTCTCAGCAACGGCCCCAGTTCCTACGCAGACTCTCCATCCCAGCCTCTAAGTCAGTTGCTATTTTTTCTGCAAACAGCATGTAAGGGTTTCTCTGGCCAGCAGCACAGCATTCTTCCTCCAGTGCCCCACTGCTTTCCTCCTGCCTTCCTAGTGACGTTCTGTTTGGTGGCAGCAATGGTGCAGAGGAGTCTTCTGACAGAGTCATATTTGAAACTCTGGTTTGGCCAACTGCTAGTCTCTCACAGCATTAATCAACTTTGGCCCATGTGCAAAGCTGAGACCCTTTAACGTCAGGAGGTTTTGTGATCATATATGAAACTAGATATTTTATGGCTTGGTTGAAAAGGCTGTTTGTCTTGTCTTGCATCAGTGGAGATTGCTAAGTGTTTGTATTTGGGGAATAAAACCCTCAGAAAGGGTTAAGAGCAGACTCCAAGTACAAAGTCTTTTCTCACATGCTTTAGCAACACCAAATTGTGCAATTTGCTATTGGATTCCGTGCAGCAAGTTTTTAAAAAATTTGTTTATTGTGAAAGCTTAATGCATGGTGTACCCTGGAGGGAGAGAGAATGCATGGGAAATCCACCTCTCGTTCTGTGAGTGCTACGTGTGAGCATCTGCCTCAGACCTTTACTTTCAGAAATACCGGCTGTAAATGTTAATTTTTGTGTCTGTGTTTCCCATTCCAAACTATAAATGTATTTTGAGCAGCTGTCGGGCAGGTTTCCTGTAGTTGCAGGGGTCACAAGGAATGTATTCCAACTTGCCTGTCAATAGGGATCTGTGTTTTATGATTTCTTAGTGTACTCATGTCTTCTTGAAACCAAAGCAAAGACCACACTTTGTTTCTTTGAGCACTGGACTGCAAGCAAAGGGCAGCTAGTGACTGGTGATGTTTCATTCTGAAAGCATAACGAAACCATAGAGGTGCTCTGCTGCGAGGACCAGACTTAAATATTTCTTCTTTTGCCCACCCCTCCTTCTCTTCCTCCCCACTAAGGCTGCAGACCTGCCTGGTCATTATTGCTCTGCTGCCTCCCTGCCTTTCCATGTTGCCAACGTAATTATAGTACTTGGCATTTCACTCCTAGAATTAAAATTATACACTTTACGCTGCACCGCTGGAAGACTGACAGGCCTTCAGATAAAGAAAAACATTAGTTTTAACTATCGGTTCGTATGGGGCAGCCACTGAAATCAGACCAGAACTAAAATGGTAGCGAAAAAGACAAGATGGGAATCGGAACAACATGATTTCATGTCAGATAGCTCAAGAAGAAGAGAAAAAGAGAAAAATGTCAATAAGTCATGGGAAAGCTCCCTGGAGGCGGATAGGATTAGTTCTTATCCTTAGCCTGTCACTGGTCCTTTAAACCAGTCAAAAATCCTGGTAGAGTTGGTAATAAAAGTCCCTTTTCTTTTCATATTTTGGGACAGGTGAAAATGGAAGCAGAGTTCAAGGTGCTATCAAGTGTTGCAGCTCTTTCGGGACCAGTTAGACAAACATCCATCAGGACTGACATAGATGCAACTGATCCTGCCTTGTGGCGAGAGGAGAAATAAGATGGCCCTTGAAATCTTTTTCAACACTATTTTATAAAAGTCTGTTAGAAATATTAGGCAAAATCCTGCCCTTATTGAAAGCAATGGACAAATTCTCGGTGACTTCAAGAAAATCGGAATTTTATCCAACGTGTCTTATCTATGTAAAAACTATGTTTATCTATAAAACTATCTAAAAGCATAGTTTTAATATTAATTAATTCAAGGAGAAGATGGGTGGGATGGGAGCAATCTTCTAACTCCCCTGAAAGAGTCTCTGATCTGTGCTAACCATGGACCAATCTCTCCATGGCTAGTAAAGAACATTTTCTTTCTTTGTTACATATTTTAAAGTATTATTAGTGACATCTCTGACATATCAAAAATTTTAATAAACCCTTGAGTTGCTTTTTTTTACTGAAGATCTGAAGGTTGCATTGCTTTCTCTGGACAGCCCATCATCAATTCTTTGTTGTTCTTTTTGGGAACTTACTAATTTTTGTTGTGCCAAATGTTGTTTAGCCAAAAATGAGTTGGGAAAAATGCTTCCTTGCCCAAGCCAGACCTTCAGCTAAGCTTCATAGTGCCTGAAAGGAGGAGACTACTTGTTAGGCCACTACGGCAGCACTTCGAACATGGATTATTGAGGAAGCTGGACTTTAGTTCACCATTTTAACACATAACATCATGTCTACACAACCCCGTTTCAGTCCCATCTGTGTCCATCCCTGGTTTTCTTTGCTCTTTGACGAGTATTGCAGATTCTCTATCTGTGTTGTGTGGGATCCTTGCACAGGTTGTGGAATCAACTGCAAATGGAAATTAGTATCCCGTGTAAGCAGACAAAAATTAAACTGAAATATATGTGAAAGATCCCTACTTTTGCTACAGCTCGGTGCTGGGATGAAGCTCCCTTTCATTACATCCTGTGTTTATTCACGCTATGCCTTAAACAGGGACAGCAAGACAGAAGAGAATCTTTAAATGACACTAAATTCTAATTTGTCTGTGATCACATCGTGGTGTAAGTTACATCCACACTTATTTGACAACCTACATCCCATACAATCCATATTGATCTTCTGCAAATTATAGCTTCCCTTTGGTCATAAGTTTTGTTCCTTTGAGTCTTGACTTAATTAACAGGTACGTTATGGAGCAGTTCCTACTGGTCTTACTTGAGACTTAAGATCACTGACTTTTCATCTAAATACCATTCCTGCAATGTAGTATGATCGGGCAAAAATATATCAGTATTCTGGAGAGTGCTGAAGAATCATATCAAAACATGCTGTGGTGGTCTGAGCACAGTGAAGGGGCACAAAGAAACCTTGACTTCTGATCCGGGCTCTGAGGCCTTTTTACAAACCTCTCAGTATTCAAACACAGATGCCGAGTGGGCTCCCATAGACCCAAATCATGTTTGAAGACACAGACAACCCCAGCTTCAAAGGATGTATCTTGTACCTTCTTGTTCCCATTTATAAAACAGAATCAGTGGTGTGAAGAGATCTGCCTCACCAAGTCTGTGTGAGGATTAATTGGTAAATGTTTATCATGTAGCAGGAAGGTGGAACACTCTGGTTTGAA